GGCAGCATAACAAGAGAGGGTGTAACTACAGCAAAGCTTCCGCCCCCTCCCCGGGGCGTGCAGGCAGCACGGGGGCGCTCATCTGACGGGTTGCTCCCGGCCGCCGCAGGGGCCGGGGGCCCTGGTGCACCAAGCAGCGGCGCCCGGCAGAAACCAGGGGCTCAAGTTAAGCACAACCTGGGAACAAAGGCGCCTGCTGCACATCAGCAACAGCCCTAGCACCATCAGCAAGGTTGACACTCATTTGAAATTGCAGCCCTTGACCCACCACAGAGATTTAGGAGGTGGGAAATGCTGCTGTTGCTTATTCAAAAGAAAAATATTGATTTACACATAGGCCATGGCCTTCAAAGTACTACAGAGTGTGCCTTGAGGTGACAGCACTACAAAGGCCAGAGGAAACAAGCTGCTGTGAGGCCCTAAAACGCTTCTGAATTAAGCATGCCTGCCCACCCACCAGAGCTTTCACGTTTAGGTGAGTGTAGTCTAACCTAGTGGATATGGAAACACCTACATGTAAGATCTACACTTACCTGGGATTATTTCTGCTGAAATAAATAGTGTTATTTAAAACAGAAAGGAAGATGAAAAGCCAGCAGTTCAGAATACTTTTCTGAGCGCAGTAGAAAACACAAAACGCTAGTCAAGTCAGTCAAACTGGCAAACCAAAGCTTTATTTTTTGTTTAAAGTCTTTGCTACAGTACCTAGGACTACGCCTCTATACATAATTAACAATCATTCCTGAAAGATCTGTATTTGGCACCAGTTTGTGTTTACCTCAAACACTTGTGGGGAGCATTAATTTCAAATCAAATTTGGTTTTTCAACAGAATAGGAGCTGCCATCATGAAGCCAATTAGCCGAGTTATTGGAGAAGCTTAAAAACAAAACAAAAAAACCCCGAAGTCCTTATCTAAACCAACACATTACAGAGAGCTCCAAAACAGGTCAAACATTAAAAGGCTGATATAGGCTCAAGTGGTTTATAAAACCTATAAAAAAAGACTACACCAGCAAATACGCCCTTTCAGTCCACACAGTTTAGAAATTAATGCAGGGAGCAACGCTCACTAGCTGGAAATCTTGTCATGGGAGAACCACACATATACCAACAGGAGTACCCAAAATCAAATGTTAAAATGCTCCAATTCCCAATCCACATAAAAGGAGAGAGATTCATAGCAAGATTAAATCAATCCATGAAATCATAATTGGTTGGGCAGTTGAAACTTCCCCCAGCAACCACTACATCACTCATACACACAGGCTCACATGTACATGGCTCAATCCCATTCAAATTCCTCATGGAATAAAAGGAT